CCTATTGTTGCCTTTTCCGTATTTACTCAAAAATGCGCCAAAGCACCTAAGATAGCTTAATGATTTCAAGCACGAGCTTGACCAGACCGGACCAGAAAAAGTAAACAGCCACGTAGCTGGAATCGGTTTCATAGGATTTCATATATGTATTGGAACGCAGAAGGCATGCTGACCTTCGTCGGAAACTTGTCAGAAAAGCTAAAGGTCCGCACGGCACTTTTTCTTTGAATAATTCAACACAATTAAGAACTATTTAGATTGGTAATTTAACAATTCATTAATATAAAATATATATTTATCATGCAGTGCTAACAGCTTTCAGGCTACCTTAAATTATATTACCTTTAAAGTAAAAGCAGAAGTTGTTTGTTTTTAAAGAAGAAATTCTTTAAGCTTATGTGTAACAAAATCAAATTTCATTTCAAATCGCAAAGATCTACGTGCCACACTTTAATTGACGAGTGCAACAAGGGGCTTTCACTCTCTGTCTCCAAGGGGCCAGAAAGGACATTTTAACCAAGTTTTTGCACCATTTCCATTTACACATACACTCGTAGAGCGGGTCTTCAAACTGGGCAGAGTTGCGCCTAACAAACCCAAATATCGCATAGGCCCAGACTCTAAACTTTAAGGCTTCAGATGTAGGAATGAGCTCTTGATCATTAATAAAGTATGCTGAAAGAAGGGCATATAAACGTTAGCTTAATGTGTATGTTCAATGGTAACTGGTTATGTCTACTACAGCATTCGGACATGCTATATGTCAATCTGGAAAACCAGTACATCAAGCTGAGACAAAATACATTTACATATTTTAATGTTATCGACATACTTATAAGAGATAATATGACGAACGGAAGCACTTAAATCAATTAAAAACTGGAACAAGACAGCTTCCATTAGGTAGCCCTTCAAGATACGACATAAGAGCTTATGATATAGTAAATATTGCGTTTTACTTTAAGAGCCTTAATTAAATTTACATATAACAAGATGTATAAATTTAAATATCATAATTAAGGTGCTTAAAGAACAGTAAATTGAGACCCAAAGCTTGGCTAAGACTGTAAAAGCAACGCATAGAGCGGATAAGGCTGTAATGTCTTCATCTTTAGCGTTTCCTCTAGCCATTTGATGTTGAGATGACGACAGCTGCGACGGTAAAGAGGTCTGCAAAACAAAGCTTAAATTCATTGCAAACATTTTTTGGGTATCTAGTATTATAAGCACCTGAGCTGCGACAAATCCTTGTTCTTATTACAGTCATGAAATACCAGGCTAGCCCTTTGCGTGCATTTGGCCAAGATGCCACCATGACGCACAAATTCATCCATGAGCTTAGGCTGGGCTGCATCCGCTACAAAATGCGCTTCCAGGCCGATAAATAATTTTCTATCCTCGCCTTTGCCGTAGTTGGACGATGTGCTGGCCAGTGGCGGGTTTTCAATCTTTACATCCGCTATGACTATTTTGGGCTTAAAAAAATCTTTAAGATTACCTTGAGACGTAACCGTGGGTGCCTCCAGCTTATGCATTTTTCGTGAGCTGCGGCCTTTTGATGGTGTTACCTCCTCATCGTCAGAGGCGCTCTTGGATCTCTTAGGCTTTTTGCTGCTGCTCGCTGTGGCCTCTTTGGGTGCTTTGCTTTTTTGGGGCGTCTTCTCCAGTTTAAGCTTGTTTTTAAGGGCATCATCCCTGTCTGCCTCACAGTTGGCCAGCAGCAGATCTACATTGACATTTTGTTTGGAGGCTGCATAGAGCTGCTCCAAATGTTCCAGATCATTTGCCTGCATTGCGGATTTATCGCTGCGTAAGCGCGTGATGCGCGGAAAACGTATGGAGATGCCCGCAGCAGTGTGCGCTTCAGACTGTGTAAACTCTGCGCCCGTGATTTCCCACACAGGCATTTGCTCTGGAATCTTGGCCAGCACATCGGGTATCAGCGCTTTTTTACAGAGCAGCCAGTTAGGAATTTTGCTGGCATCGGCGCGTTCTGTTAGTTTCATCAGTGACTCGTGTACCTCATCGTTTGAGGCATCATCCAGGCCAGAGTGCACTTTAGTGACCGTCTTCCAGAGACGATCGCGTGCATCGTAACAACCCATGAGAAAAATGCTGAGCACGCCGCCTTTCTTGCCAGAGCCATACCAAGCGCCCAGCACGACCAGATCTGCCGTATCAGCCATTTTGCCACCAAAGAGATAATCCTTTTTCACTTTAAGCCAGTTACGTTTACCCGGCTGATACGTTCCTTCGGGACTCTTTAGCACAACACCCTCCAAATTAGCCTGAAGCACCTTGGCAGTCATCATTGCCAACTCATTTTTGGTTTTCAAAAACTGCGACTCGGACAACTGTACGTGATGTTTGATGGGCTTAATGTTTTGCTCCAGAATCTCTCGGCGTTTGCAAAATGAGCTGGGATAAATATCAGCATTAGGTTGTGTAGTTTAAATAGAGCTCCATACTCACAGCTGAGTTAGATCATCGCCATCATAAAGCAAGCAATCAAAGACAAAAAGGCAGACTGACGCATTGGCATAGGTATGTTTCTTGTGGGCGCCCAGTGTGCCGAAGGGAAGCAACTCGCCGGTTTTAGTGTTCACCAGTATGATTTCCGAATCAAGTATCATGTCGTTGGCGCCGGGAAAGGCGCGCGGTATATAATCTTTTAGCTCCTTGATTTTGTGGTCTACCACCGGCTTTAGATTCCTGCTGAAAAACTTAAACTCAGAGCCGTGCTTGTGTATTTGCACTCTTTCCCCATCATATTTTACTTCGCTGTACAGGCCGCCAGGATTCTTTTTAAATGCCTCCTCCACAGACTTGCAGGCATTTGCCAGCATGGGCGAAATAGGCGTCATTACTTGAATTGCGCCGATTGCCTTCTTCGAGCTTTTTGTGGCCGCCTTTGGGAGACCTTTGAGTGATTTTGGCTTGCCCTGGGTTCCTGCGAAATTTTCTACAATCAATTTCAGATCGCGAGTGCTCTGATACGCTGGATAGGCCTCTGGTCCAAAGGCATCCAGTATATGCCTAGCACGTGCATTAATGCGCAGGTCCTGTTTAATTAGCCTGATAAACGTGCGCAAATCCAAGTCTGTGGCCTGTTTGCACACCTCTTGCAGTACCTCCGTTTGCTCATCCTCTTTTGTGCGCTGTTCCAGCTGACAAAGCATATTTTCTACTTCGTGTAGGTAAAGTTTGCTCTGTGCCTGCGGCTTGAGTTTACTGGAGCTGGCAAAGTGTTTGCGCAGGGTTTCCGAAATGTCACCATCTTCAAAAGAAAGGTTATTTTAGAGAAGTCTCAGCGCCTGTACTCAATGCTGCTCACCCTGCTCCAAGTCCAGATGCATTTGCTGCTGGTCGACATGGAAGATGCGTGCAAACAACTTGAGCAATGCCTTGTTCTGCAAATTGTAGACACGTTGCGTGGCGCCGGGTATGAGGAACTGCACCCACTGCAACAGGTCACCCTTGAAACCTGAGCCGCTGCTGCCCTTCTTAAGGAAATGTTCCAGTTTCTCAACCTTTCGCAAGTAGCTCGCCTCGCCGGCTATTTCATCACAAATACGTCGAAATGTGTCCAGCTTGTTGTCCTCATTCCGCGCCTGCTTGCTGCTCATACCTCTGCTCCTAATGCGAGTAAAATGCGAAACACGACAATTCCTTAACAATTTTATCATTTGTTTCTTAAAACATTTATTATTAACTCTCTTTCAGAGCATTGCAGACAGATATACGATTCGCGCGTCAACAAGTCTGGCATCTTCGAATCGAATCAGCTGTTGGGCTCGCTTATCGGTATATCGATAGGTAAAAATATCGATGCTGCTAAGGTTGTGCAATGCCGTTACGAATTTGAAGGGCAAAAACCAGAACAAATACAAATTAAGTTCCATGACTTCAACATACCGACTGAACATGAGAATTCCAGCCACTGTCGAGATGAGGATGCATTGCATGTGCTGGCAGAGGTGCGAGGTAAATACGAGACGCAAGAATTACTATGCGGAGCATTTTTGCCCAAGCCCCTGATGTCTAGCGGCCAGAAACTTCAGCTGCAATTTGTGGGTAAATATCCGCCGAAAATGACCAACAAAGTGCAGTACTATGGATTTCGCGCAGAGTATCGGTTTCTCACAAGTACGCTATAGAAAAATAATATAACTTAAGACAATTTTAATTAAAAATTCCTTTATTTAGACTTCGGTATTATGTCTGGGGTGCAGCAGGGCAATGAGTGCACCTTTGTTTACAACAGTAGCGAGCGGATTAGTGGACTATTTCACTCCCCGAACTTTCCAGGATACTATATGGAGAATGTTGTATGCAATTACTACTTTTATGGAGCTGATGAACGCATTGTTCTGCGGTTTACGTACTTTGATGTCGAAGGCATTAGCACGTATGTTTACATTTAAAATAGCTGTAACAAATCAGTTCATGTTGTTATATTTTCAAGATGTGACCATCAATCGGCCAGTGATTATGTGGAATTTTCAAATTTTATGAGCACAGATCGCAAGTACAGCAAATATTGCGGAAAATTACCAGACTTCGAAGTGCGTTCTGATGGGCGTTTCTTTCGAGTAACCTTTTACTCCAACGACCGTTTTGTGGCCAATGGTTTTCGCGCTCTTTACACGTTTGAGTCCATAAATACCAAAAGTTCTTTAACCAATCCGGATATGGGGGACAGCACTGTGCCCATGCAAAGCTATGTGTCTAGTGGATCGCAGCATATACCTAGAATTATAATCATAACTATAACTGCTCTAATATTTCCTATACTTAAAAACTAATGAATAAAGAAACCTTTAGCAATCGTTTAAAGATTGAGGTAGTTTAGAATGTTTGAACTTGCACTGCAAATATCGATATACATCGATAAGGCATATTTCCAGTGTGACAGTATTTTCATCCACACGCCTTAACCAACTCTCATTTCAATCAGTGCCGCGCAAGTTTCTTCCATAAGTTTGTTCGTTTTCTCGAATTCGGCATTCGTTCATCATTCGCCGACAGCTTCGCGAGGTAGTTTTTGCCCGCGCCGCGTTGAATACTCAGTTTTGTTTGTTGGGCCTAATAGGGGTGGCTGGCTGGTTATTGTCGTGTGTTTCATATGTAAAAAAAAAAGCTTAGCGCAACAAAAAGTATTATTACCTAGTGATAAGTGTCAAAACAAAAGCAAGCTACAAGCAAAACACCTAAAGTTAACACATCATAAGCAATTCTAGAAACACAGGCGCAAAATGTTCTCACGACCCAGGTAAGCTAATAAACCGAAACCAACAGAAGTCGAATCCCCCTGGCATCAAGTTGCCAAAGGAATTCGCAATGCTTGCAACTATTTTTGGTACAAACGCGAATTGACGAACTGTTATGCAATTTCAATTGTCAGGCCACGGTTCCGCGTCCCAGCTGTTTTTGTCAGTGACCTAGTCTTTTTCGTGGCAGACGAGTGTGCGCCAAGGCAGGCGGTTCCCTGCACCCTCCGTCATCATCATCAACATCAAACTCAGTGCTTGCAGTGCGCAGCTTTCGTTTTCATTGGCGCTAACAATACACACACACACACACACGCACACAGTCACAGGCACTGGCCTGTTGGTGTTGGCTAATGCAGGCAGAGATTCGCACATGTTTTGGCATTGACCTAACTTTTTCTGGTTTTCGCTGGCTGCAACAGCTGCTTGTTGGCTGCGACCTTTTAATTTTCTTTTCCTCATTGCGTAAGAGCTGATAGCTCAGGTGCGCTTTTCTTGGCTATGTGCAAAAAAGAAAAGCCAAAACAAAAAAGTAAAATTAAAACGAAAAAATAATAGCGGCAATTACACACACGCACACACACACATATATGTGTATAACAAAACAGCTGAAAAATCAATACACAAACAATCTCTATGTGCATGTGTGTGTGTGTGTGTGTGTCTGTTCCAACACCAACGCATTTGCCACCTTCACGTTCATGGACATGGACACATTTTATATTATTTGCAGATACATACATACATATGTATATATGTGTAGATACATACATGTACACATATACAACTGATCGTTTCTGGTGCCAAATTCTAAAATTATATATGTACACACATTTTGGCAATTACATATTAACGATTAGTATACACAAAAGATGGTGCTATTATTTTGTTTGTTGCTTATGCCCTGTCTTTCTGCTTTATTTTTTTTTTCGTTGCCAAGTTCAAAAGTTTATTCTTTCGCTGCGCAGCTTCATCTTCCATCTCTGCTTTTGCTGTTTTCGTTTCACTGTTCTTGCTCTTTGCTATTCCAAGCTTCTTCTGGGCAAAACACATTCGCGTACATTGACTTCTCTTTGGCTTTTACCAACACGCATAACTTTATGGCTTTCAGCTGATATGCTGATATGAACTGGGCTACATATTGATATCCAAATGTATACAATTTCTTGGCCTGGTCAGCGATCAATGTCTGCCGTTAATTGGCCAACACACACACACACACACACACTTTTGGCCAGTGCACACACATCATATTTTGCCATATTATATATGTATGATTATGCCATCGTTGCGCGTAAATATATACTACGTTTATACGAAAGTCTGGCAATATAATTAATGTGCAAAAAAGCTGCTTTTGTTTCTCTAAAAAACTATTCAGTTCATTATAACTTAAGCTTATTTATTTATTTTTACTATTAGCTAGTAGAACAATTTTATAATTGCATGTACTGATAATGTCTTAAGAATTTTTCAATACAAGATATTGCGAATGTATGACTGCTGTAATAATATGTAATTAGATCTATAAAAAATAGTTCTAAAACAAATATTTATATTTTTATATAGAGAGCAGATTGAGATTGCGTGAATAAAAAGTTGAATGACAACACTTTTTATATGATATCAAAACAGAACACAGAAGCAGAAGCAGCTGTTTCTATTTATATGGAAATATCGTGATATCAAAACGTTTTTACGTAATTTGCGTGTCGTATAAACATATCAGCATTTGCGGAAATGTTTACGGCATGCACTTACATTTGTATTAGTGATTAGATATAAAATATGTTATGCGTATATAAATATATATATATATATATATATAGGTATATAGTATACGTGTGAATATGTATGTATGTGGGGCATATGCGAATTTATTAAGCACTTGGCGCTCATGTGAGCGCTTCTGGGCGTTAGGCAGTGCAAATAGTAACAAAATGACGAATGATGATAATGATAGCATGCCCATTCCCATGTCCATGCCCAGGCCGGCCTGCCCCTTACACTCTGCCGCTAATTAGCAGCCAAGAGTGTTTGCGCACATCGGGCCAAGCTGCGCAGTGAACACGTCACGAGGCGCGTCATTAACGGGTTTACTAGCTGTGGCAGCCGTAATCCCAGAGAGATGGACACGGCCATGTCATAGCCGCCAATGAACCATATTCAATTAGTCACAAGGGGGCCGCAATTAGCAGCAATTATGCAAAATCGCCCCGAAAGCATTTGCAATTCGTTTGTCGTCATTTTGTTATCGTAGCACTTGAAATCTTATCGCGCCCCCATCGTAAACACTGCGACTGCGGCTTAGTTTAGTGGCATTTTGGCAAACAGTCCGATTGATAGCGGCAGTTCAAGAGTGCTTAACTTGAGGATACCCTATACACAGGCAGAGAAAATAAAAAATAGTCACAGTTTTTACTGCACTTATTATCGGATTGTTATGAAATTATTATGGTAGTGAAAGTACTTATCAGCATTGACGCATGCAGATAAATTTGGTAATTTCTTCTAGAATTTCTGCTTAGTTTGAATCATAAGAAACGTGCGAAGATAACTTCTTGCTGTCTCTCGCTTTGATCAAGCCGAAATTTCCAACTAGAAATTTGGGTAATATGTTAGATTCTTATTGGACACATCCGAACAAAAAGACTATCTAGATGTATATCTTTTATATACCATTCCTCAAGCTTATTTTGAAGAGTATTCATGGCCTTGGCCTTGGCTTTTCAATGTCACTGAATCAATTGCAACAATAATAAACATTTGCTCCACGATTTTCGTTTGCTTGCAGCTTGTGTGGAAATCTCGGTAAACTGTGCCGCAGCGGCACTGCAGCCGTGACGAGTACCCCAACAACAACACCGCCAGCATTATCGGCGCTGGCGCTGTGCGATGCCCGTGGCTATCATGAGGTTGTCGGCGACATTATCTGCCCCTCACAGGTGCGCGGCATAGATCATATACGCGATCCGCGCTTGAATAAGGTAAGTGCCTGGAATTATGCCCAGCTGTGAGTCGTTATATATCCGTTATATGGTTTAACCCAACAACAGGGCTTGGCCTTTACTCTGGAGGAGCGTCAGGTGCTGGGTATTCATGGCCTGCAGCCAGCACGTTTCAAGACCCAGGAGGAGCAGCTACAGCTGTGCAAGATTGCCGTTAACCGCTATACAGAACCACTGAATAAGTATCTGTACTTGAGCGATCTGCACGATCGCAATGAGCGCCTGTTCTTCCGCTTTTTATCGGAGAACATTGAGGATCTAATGCCCATTGTATACACACCCACGGTGGGCCTGGCATGCCAGCGCTTTGGCCTGATCTACAGACGTCCGCATGGCCTCTTTGTCACATTCAATGATCGCGGTCACATCTTTGATGTGATGAAAAACTGGCCAGAGCCGAATGTGCGTGCCATTTGTGTAACTGACGGCGAGCGCATCCTGGGCCTGGGTGATCTGGGCGCTTGCGGAATGGGCATACCAGTTGGCAAACTGGCGCTGTACACCGCACTGGCGGGCATTAAGCCGCATCAATGCCTGCCCATTGTGGTGGATGTGGGTACCAATAATATCGATCTGCTGGAGGATCCACTGTACGTGGGTCTGCGTCAAAAGCGTGTCGTGGGACGCGAATATGATGATTTTATCGACGAGTTCATGGAGGCTGTTGTCAAGCGCTATGGCCAGAATACACTTATCCAGTTTGAGGACTTTGGCAATCACAATGCATTTAGATTCTTAGACAAGTATCGCAATACATACTGCACCTTTAACGATGATATTCAGGGAACAGCCGCTGTGGCTGTGGCCGGCTTGTACGCCTCGAAGCGTATCACGGGCAAGTCCTTCAAGGAATACACTTTCCTATTCGCGGGGGCCGGCGAGGCAGCCATTGGCATTGCCGATCTCGTGGTCAAGGGCATGGTTGCCGAAGGCGTGCCCATCGAGGAGGCATATAGTAGGATATTTATGGTCGATATTGACGGGTTGTTGACCACATCGCGCAATGTGGGCAACCTGGATGGCCACAAAGTCAATTATGCCAAGGACATTGAACCAATGCAGGATCTCGAGCAAATTGTATCGACTGTTAAGCCAAGTGTATGTCGTATATTTCTATTATATATAAAACGCAATCTTTCATTTAATCCCATTTTATCACACAGGTGCTAATTGGCGCTTCAGCTTGCGCCGGTCTCTTCACGCCCAAAATTCTGCGCACCATGGCGGACAATAACGAAAGGCCCATCATATTTGCTCTCTCAAATCCAACCAGCAAGGCGGAATGCACAGCCGAGGAGGCTTATCACAACACAGATGTGAGTTGCTTAAGTATTATGTCTCTTGGTGGATATAAAGTCCCCCCTGGCATATTTCTAGGCTCGCGTCATCTTTTCATCGGGCTCGCCCTTCCCACCGGTTGTTGTGGGCAACAAAACCTACTACCCTGGCCAGGGTAACAATGCCTACATTTTCCCTGGTGTTGGGCTGGGTGTCATATGCACGGGTACACATCACATACCCGATGATATGTTCCTGATTGCTGCCCAGGAGCTGGCCAACTTTGTGGAGCCCGCTGACATTGAGCGTGGCTCATTGTACCCGCCGCTGTCGAGCATTCGTGATGTCTCCATGAATATTGCCATTGGCGTAACTAAATGTGCTTATGATAAGGGTATGTTTCCTTTCGGCTATGAGAACTTCTATGCTTAATACGCTTACCATTTGTCTAGGCTTGGCATCCACATACCCAGAGCCGCAGGACACGCGCAAGTGGCTGGAGGATCAACTGTACAACTTTAACTATGAGTGCTCGATGCCAGTCACCTGGACCTGGCCACGCATGCCATACATCAAGACCCGTGAATTAGTGCCCACGAAACTCTACGGGAAAAAAAGTGATTAACATTTCTTTTTCTTTCTATTTCTCTTTTAGGCGAAGAGAGTCCGCTTATTGCCGCTATTAAATAAGAAAATCGTTCAGTTCTCTTGGTTGATCGTTTGATGGCACCTCTGTATTGCATTCTAACCCACTCTTCGTATAACTACTACTACTACTACCACTACCACTACTTTAAAGCGACCACGAACAGCACCAAACACTAACCAAGCCTAGGCCTAGATAATTTCTGCAACGGCTCACACTATCTACATGTTATATGATCGATTCACTTGCCACGTCAGTTGCCAGGTTCAAGATCAGCCGGCATAAGGCTATGGGGCTACCCAGCTCTTCATTGGTGACTAATTAAACAAGCAAACTTCCACATTGTTATTAAATTTACCCATAAAAATTGTTAGTCATAGATACCAGCTGTAGTAGTTAGCCAGCGACAAGTGCGACAGAGACTTCTATGTATTTTCAATATGTTCATATAGTATTATATATGTCTGTACAGAATGTTTTTATTTGTATTAATTATTATGTTAATTTGTATCTGATCGAAATTGATAATGTTACGATGAATGCGAACCTAATTATCTCACAATTGTTTACTTACTAACTGCTTTGTTTTTGACTTGCCTATCTTTCACCTGAAATTAAGTTTAATTGGCTTGCTGGTTTTAATTTCCTTCCGGCTCTCTCTCTCCCTCTATCTCTCTCTCTTTAACTCTTGCTTTTCCCATTGACTGCTTACTAATTTCAAAAGCGGCACTCAATGAAAACCTATGCTTCTTTTCTCAACTTTAAAGCAAATGAAAAATTCAAACATTGATTGATATTGATCTATTGCTATTTCCCTTTCGTTGACATATAGAAAGCGAAGATATCTTATAAATAATCCAACCTCCACACCGACCGCATAGAACCATTGGCATATATAGACAGCAGAACGGTGAGATTCTGCCCAACCCTAAACGAAAAAAGAGCAGCCGTTGACCTTAACCATTAACTCTTAAACTAAAAGTAAACAAAATAAGTTAAAAGTTTTAATTTAATACAAATAGCGTATATATGTATATGTGTATATATATATATATATATATGACTATAGAAATAATTATTTTTGTCGTTGATCCATGTCTGATATTTATTAAATAGCCTTGTTATAATTTATTGTTACACACAGTCAATTTTAGTTTATCATATTACTTAAACCCTAAAAAAAACATGAGAAGAAAATGGAGTGATCCTCAAGCAATTGTACTATTGACCAGCTGATGTGCGATAAACAATAAAATATACAGAAAATGGTTATTTCAAATGTTTTTATGCGTGTGTTTCTTTTTTTTTTTAATTTTTAAAGTGGGCTCAATTAATTGCATTCTGATAAGAAATTCTGAGCAGTTGCTAAACATGTGTTACTTACTTTGGTACTTCCCTGGAAATATTTGATTGATCGTTTTAAGTATCGGCGACAAGTTAAAAGTCTTAGTTGCTTTCCTGTTAGTAGAATTTCCCATAGCTCTGGCATAGATCAGTCTGATATAATTCTTGGGAAATGCCGAGGCTACTGCAATTGAGGCGAATTGGAACAGGTTGCTCTAATAATAAAATTGATCATGCAATTTCGGGGCATTAAAAGATTTTGTATATGAAACACGTAGGAACATCAACTCGAAGATCGAAGATCGTATACCCTGCTAGATATATGACATGAGACGGACTTTTCCTTTAAATTACCCAATATAGTAAGTCATATCAGATATTTGGGATTTTCGAACGATCGCTTCCAGATCGATAAAGTTTCGTCAAGATAGTCTTAAGCCTAAAAGTCAAGTTTGCATAGAACAAAAAATCAGCTTAGCTGACGAACATGGTTGTTGATACTGATAAAGAATATATATATATATAGAGTGAAAGCTCCCATAATTATGTTCGTAGCCGGACACCAACCGATGCGGAGTCTTTGTCGGCTATGGTATACCATTTTACCTGGACTTTTTGGGGCTGGACGCGTCTCCTTCCACGCGTGTCAAAATTAGTAAACTCTTGCATTAGTACGAGCTCAAAATGTCGTATGAGTAACAAATTTTCGAGATTAAAAACATATTTTTAATTTAGGCATTTTCTCTTTTAAGTAAATCTCTACTGTTTATTTTATTATTATTATTTGTAGCTAGGGTGTTCAGAGTTCGGCTTGAACGTCTTATGTAAGCCGCAGCAAAACATGCTTGAATCAACCTTCTAGCTGTTGGTTCTCTCGAGATCTCTGAGCCCAGCTGAGCGAAAGCTCGAGAGTCTGCTCAGAAAATGCGAAGCAACAAATCGAGATTTTTTTTTATATTTTAATAGCCGAGTGCGGTCATGTAAACAAACCCGGACGGCTTGAGTAATCAGCAAATGATATTTTTTGTACATAAATACAATCTATAATTAATATTAATATGTTTTTATTATATTTTGTACATATGATGCTGGGCTAAGAAAGCCAAACACTTGTGGCCGGGCTACCAAAAGGGGGAAAACCAACCAAACCAGGGCAAGTGCTCAGTTCTCGACTCAGAGAGATGAGCTGAGATTTCAAGCTGGCCGAGCTCATCTCGTATAAAGTGCGCGCTTGGAGCGCGCTGCGCTTAGTAGCACTTGGAGCACACGTTCGGCTAGTTATCTGGCCAGGCATCGACTATCGACTGTCGCACTTTTACATATATGATGTTGCGTTGCAGCTTCCTCGTCGCCGTCGTCTGCCTGATTGGCGCTCGATCCGCATGGGCAGGTGAGCTAGAAAAACTTCTCATGACCCGTTTTAACTGCTTAACATATTAATTGCTTGTGTACACGGACGTTCATATAGCCTATGCGGATGACTGTGAGACGCCGAACGGCGTGCGCGGCCAGTGCATGCCATATTCCTCCTGCGCGGACATTGAGCAGCGTCTCCTGGCCGCCCAACAGAGCGGCGAGCGCGTGCCGCCGGAGTATGCCAGCTATTTGCAGAGGGCAGCCTGCGGCGAATTCGACGGAGTGGTAAATAGTGGCTATATGCAGTCAATTGGCGAGCTCAACTCAATCTTTTGTTGCGTCTGTAGCGACACTTTTGCTGCCCCGGGCCACAGATACAGCACAACTCCAAGGTCATGGAACTGTTTAAGAGCTCCAACTTCAGCTGCGGCTCCATTCTCAATCAGCGCGTGGCCAATGGCTACGAGGTGCAGTTGTCCTCCCGGCCCTGGATGGCCTTGCTGCGATATCAAAGCCAGGGTCAATCTCGTTTCCTGTGCAGCGGCACACTCATCTCAAACCGTAAGGCAACTCTATAGCATATTTATGATGGAGATTGAGCTGATTCTTATTCGTAGGCTATATATTGAGCGCCGCCCATTGCGTGTATGGACTGGAGGAGCAGCTGTGAGTATTGAAGTTCTAGCTGACATGGCTCAAAACAAAACCCAATGCGCTTAACACTCTTCCAGCTATGAGATTCGTTTGGGCGAGCATCGCATCTCCACGGAGCGGGATTGCCGCCGGCAGGGACGCAAGGAGAAGTGCGCGCCACCCGTCAAGGATCTGGGCATTGAGAAGTTCATCCTGCACGAAAAATACGATGCCAAGCAGGTTACGAATGACATTGCCTTGCTGCGCCTGAATGAGACCGTGACCTTTGAGAGTAAGTTGCGGGCACAGCTTTAACCATTGCCCCAGTCTAAGCCAACGCTGCGTCACTTCTTGCAGAGCACATTAGGCCCATCTGCCTGCCCATAAGCGATGAGCTGAAGCAGCAGGCTGAGTCGCTGCCCAACTACTTTGTCACCGGCTGGGGCACCACCGAAAATGGTTCCGCCTCGGATGTATTGCTCCAGGCCAAAGTGCCGATTCAGAGCCGTTCGGCTTGCTCCCAGACCTATCGTCGCGAGGTGCCCGCCAGTCAGCTCTGTGTGGGCGGCGGCGATTTGCAAGACTCCTGCAAGGGCGACTCGGGTGGCCCGTTGCAGGCGCCCGCCCTCTACCTGGACGAGTACAAGCTGCGCATGGTGGAGTTCGGCATTGTTAGCTTAGGCGTGACTTCCTGCGGCCAGATCAGCCTGCCGGGTCTCTACACTAATGTGGCACACTATGTGCAGTGGATAACAGACAACATGGCCAGAAATGGCCTATAAATCTGGCCGAGAGTTGATCCGGCTGCACACTTACACGTACATATGAGTTTTATAAATAAAATGTAGATTTCTTACCACAGCTTTATACAGTCAGAATATAATATAAAAATATATTTATATTTAAATAAACGTTTTATTTTTGTAGTTGAAAAATTTTCGAAATTACGCAGTAATTCCATATAGCGGCCTCTATTGATATTTATTGGCACCATCTGTTGACGCTGAGTTGAGCAACTGTTGAGCAAAATAGTGGGCACGGCAAGACATGTGCTGCTGCGAGCGTTCAGGCGTCAACTGTTGAGTTTTGTCGCAATAGAACAAAATGAGCCACTATGGTTCTCCCAATACTCGAACCGTTTTCGTGGGGAATGTTTAGAAAAGGGGAGTTTTGGGTAATTAGGTAAGTTTTGATTTCCTGGCAAGCCTATAAAGTAATTTAAATAATTTAAATTTAAATAAAGCACACCCTTGTTTATCGAGCAAATTATTATTCACTCAACATATTTAAATGCACAGTTTGTTTTTCAGAGGAGGCATATTGCTGTACAAATATAACAGCTAACACTTTCATATAATAATACACGAAATACACAAGGCGCGAGTGCCTGACTGTGAAATACCCTCTGTTCAGATATATCACCATATAAAGTAATACATTTTGTTTTCAAGGTACAAATAGTGTATGAAAGTGAGTAAGTAGGTGTATAATTAATAATTTGTGTGTTTATAGTAACGCTTATATACACAAACTTTTTTGTTAGCAAAGCATTTAACGAATATCCGTTTTAATCATCATTTATGGCTACAGGGTATAATAAGTGGATTTTTTTAAACAAACATTTCGTGCATTTAAACGAATTAAATGTAAACACTTGGCGTGGCATCTTCACATTCCCAAGACATTAGTGGCCACTTACACACACACACACACGCACTTACACACAAACACACACGCATGTATGCGGCTTGAGTTAAGCACAAATATGCCCGACTAATCGCAACAAAATTTATCTGCTCTGCGGCCTTGTCATAACTAACATGAGGATAACAGAGGCGTGTCTTTTAACCTGAAGTTGTACTTTGGAAATTGTGTGTGTGTTTTTTTTTGTTAAACTGAAACAAACTTTTCTATGTACAAAACATTTTCCATTTAAATGCAAAGGCAAGCCGACTTTTAATGTTTCTTCAAAGTTTTTTATTTTATTTTTTAGTAAGTTTTCTTGTTGTGTTGCAGGAGATTGTGTAAGTACATAAATTTACATGGAAAATTTATGGCAAACATTTAAAGCTGTCTTTTCGCACTTAGCTGTAGCTGATCTAAGAGGTAAAGCTTGAAAATCATTTACAAATCATGGGCTTTTACTCTTGTACCCATTGATTTTGGCTAAAAAGGTGTATAATGGTTTTTTGCAAACGTATGTTACAGATACTTAAGTCAATGGAAAGACACGACAGTTCGGTTGTGTCTTCCGTCTTGGTATGCCGGGAGTCCCATCTAAGACATCTTCTGATCTATGCTAAGGGGAACACGGTACTCCACGTCGAGCATTTGCTCTACCCGCATTTCTGCTTAAGCCACAAACATCACGAAACTCCTGGAATTGCCACAACTCCTCTCTCTCTCTTTCTTAGCTATTATTTGGAATATTTTGAATATTTGATGCATGGCTACATTCTTCGAGTCCATGTTCAACTAATTATGCAGTAGATAGATATTTTCCAGTCTAATATAATTAATTCCAAATTAATGTACTGCATTTCTCTAGATAAACGAACTTGATTGGATTGTCAGGATTGTCGGATACAGCTGGGTTTCTGTTTGCCACAGATTGCACAAAGTGCTCGAAGAAAGTCCTGTATTGTTCCTGCTTTGTGAGATGCAACTTTTCGGGAGTTATCTGCTAATTGCACAAGGATGCGAGAAGGCGTAAAGGATTGCCTTGGACGTGCCAGCAACTGGATGGCTGTCTGTCTGTTTGTCTGTCTGTCTGGCTGGCTGGTTGGCTGGCCGACTGCGCTGCACTCATCGACGGCGTTAATTAAAATCGTCTCAAGCAAGTCCGAGAAACTAATAACAGCCAAACAATTTTGGAATCAAGCCTTTCAGCTACGCTCCGGCGTTTTCCTTTTGCCATTCCATATGGCGCAGCCACTGTCAATTTTTCCGCTCAAAGCATAAAATAAAAACCCCAAATTGGGGAGTGCGGTCGCGGTTTTGGGCCAGAGGCGACTTTGTTCTAGTTGGTTGTTGTTCTTCCGCCAGCTTGAAGTGGTTGCGAACTAGTGCAAAATGGTCGTCGCGTCGTCTATTTTTGTCTGTCAAAGCTTTTGTTTTAGTTTAACAGCCGAAATGTTAAGACCTGCAAGCGCAGCTGCCAGCGGAACTATTGTTTTTGCCTGCACTGTTGCTGTTGCTGTTGACGTTGTTGTTGCTGCTATCCCTTGCCATACACCACTTCGTGTTTGTTTTCCATTACAACATGTTGTTGGGCCGCTGTGGTGCAACAGCCGGCGCCAAAATATTGACACTGCCGAATTGTTTTTGGTTCCCCCCGCGCGTAAAACCAAATTAATGAAACTTAAAATTGACAACAAGCACAGCAAGTGGCCAGCACAAACAACAGACAACAAACATGCAACAACTGGCAACTGGCAACTGGCAAATGGCAAATGGCGGTTGGCAACTGGGTTGTTGTTGTTGTTGTTGTTGTCAGTCAGTCACTAAATAAATGCCATGGTTCATCTTCTGTAACACTCTTAAGCGGCTTATGACCAGGCCATTCGGCGTATCAGCCCGGTCATAACTCATTTGCGCCAGCAAATTAAAAGCGATTAATACTGGACATCAAATACAACATTGACTTTGTGACCAACTCGCATAAATTGTATGGCATAGGTTTTCACTTTGTCGATAAATGTTGAATTTATTGTACAAATATTGATTTCAGACTTTTGGATATTGATGTGCATGTATTCTTTAGTGTCCCTCGGGTATTAAAGTTATGTCACAAATGGGTCGCATCATTAATCATAATGCCACTCAATGCAGGATAGGTTGAAGATATTATTGCCAAGTAAAGACCATCACGAAGATTTGCTGAAAACTACAGAAAGAGCATTGTTTAATTATGCTAAATGTGCGTTTACTTTATTGCTTAAAAGTTTCTGCAACAGATCTGCCTTACCTGAACCGCGACCACGCCTTTGCGCTCCCAATTCTTATTATGTTTCTGACATGGCCTCTAGTTACTTTTTCTAATCCTTGGTACATCTTAGATACTTGACAATAGATTTTTCAATAAACTGCCAAACACATTTAATTAATTTCCGGTAAGGCATTAGCTGTCAGCCTGTGGTTTTCAATTTAAGCAATTCGCTTTTTCATTTGCCTGTCTCGAGCTGTAACAGCAATGCAATAAAGTAACCACTGCATGTACTTAATATAAAATTATAATAAATAATGTTTTAAATGAATTATTCACAGACTTCGGCTCTTCCGGTCGAAATTGCCACATGCCATGGGCTTCTCCTTGGACTGGCTCGTCGCCCGTTCAGCAGCTCGAGCGGCTCCTTGCTGAAATAAGTTATTCAAATTTTTTGGTTTTATTATAAATTTGGCATTTCCGAATGCAATGGCGGCGCAGGATAACACATTTGCCATCATTGCGTTTGTGTGCGTGTGTGTGTGTGTGTGGCATCGCACATTTGCATACAGAATTTAAATTATATTGTCCGTTTCATGCTCTGACACTTATGAGACAAAATGAAATAAAAGATGACTCCAGCGACAACAAAAGGACTGAAATAACAGAAAGGTAGCAAGGCAAGGATGTGCCACACGCGCCCACAAGTGCGCAGCAAGGACGACAAGCAAACAAATAAACATCGCCTCGCCCCCAACTTACGTGCGCCCCAAACATGTTGAGGCTGGGTAAGCGGCAGTAGTGCTGCCAGCTACAACATATGCCCATATTCCGCCCACTCAGCCACCCCAAACACACACACACACACGCACACACATTGAATGTGCTTTAATATTTCAAGAGCTTTAATGAAATCGCTTTGCTTTGCTCAACTGTCGTTTGCCTTTTCAAATTGCTGCTCGAGATACGGCGGCTTTTCAGGGCTTCTGTCTTTATGTACACACACATGCATATATGTATATATACCTGTGTGCGCATTTGCCTCGCTGCGCTGGCGTTTCAGGTAAACTTTATGAAATGAATAAAAATTCGTCGCATTCTGTAAACTGTCAAATTGAGTGCATTTTGTGTGCCACGCCCAACCAAAAATTAGTTTCAAGGGTCCAATGGAACGTTTGGCATTGCCCCAGCATAAAAATGTAAAACTTAAGCACACTCACCCCGCCGCGTGAGTCCTTCAATAGCATCTGGGGAAATTTCCGAAAATATACAAATCTGTAATTGCAAAAAAAGTAAAAATAAAATGCCTGCATAAGTATTGCCACCTGAAATTACACCTGATACAAGTTCAAAGTTAGGTTCATGTTTTTTCAGCAGCCAAGCGACCGAAATAAGTTTAAAGCATTTTTTTTACACTCGAATGCATTTCAAACCCCAAAGACCAAAAATAAATATGATTACCGCACCGGAACCACCGCAACCACCGCAACCACCAGCATCAGCAAACACACACACAACGCACACACAACACACACACCGCCTGCTCTGGTCGGTTCATCAAGTTTCCTTTAGAGCCTGTTTGTCTATCTATTTGGGCCATTGTTGCGTTGACATGCCGTAGGCTTCTGGTCATTTTGTTCTCGATTTACGTTTTCAAAAACAATTTTCTCTTATAATGATGAGACGGTCGCTTCCGATTCGCTTACCCGCTCGTTTTTGTCGGATTTTCGCATTGCCTATGCCACTTTTATACGAGTGATAGTAGCAAAAGGCAATTCCATCCTTAGCCCAGCTTGTTCTTAGCATTTGAATACCCTTTAAATAAACAAAAAAGGATATGATAAAAGTGTATACCAGCTTGTAACAGAGAAAAGATGCCAACTCAAACCTTATTTAAAATGTATGATCTAAAGGGTATCCTCTAGTCTTGTCTAGTCTGGTCTTCTAGTTCGTTGGCATTTTCTTTTAGTTGTATGCTACAGCGGCTAGACATTTTGTTGTCTTACGAATTACTATATTGTCTAAGGCCATGTGTGGCCCGCCTTGCGCGTTGCCATTCCAAAAACAGGCCATTATTGTTCAGCCAAACATAACTGATTTAATATTGGATATGACAGCGGAATGGCCCAGGCAAATGGCAACTTGATTTCTATAACAAATTAGTTCATTTCGTTACTGCGCCGAGACGCAACATTATTTCAGTGCTCAATCTGCCAAATTTATGCGGCATGCGTCCCATTTTGGCCCGGCCCCACTTGGGGTAGGCGGGGCGCAGCAGCTCACAAAATGAGTTTGTCGGGCTTCGACATCAAAGTCTATTAATTTTGTGGTGGCGCCAGACAATCTCACTCTCTATGGCAACAGAGCAGTTTCCAGGCACAGTCCGAACTCTAGCCCCTGCCTCGTCCTCATTGACGCATAAAACTATTCATTCTAGTCGAAGTGTGAATATATTGTGTATACACAATATTGTCTACTATGAATATGATTGCATACGTCCACTGAGAAAAAAGTCTCAGTCAAGGAATTCTATTCAACACTATTTCGCTTTAAGCAGGTTGATGTGGTATTTTGAATATGAAATAATTTTTCTTTAAATAATGTTCTTTTGGGCTAAGATGGAAAAAATGCATCAATATAATAAAAGAGAAATATAGTTTTAAGATATACTTCTTTAGGTTCCTAACACAAGTTGACTTTGCACTTTAAATAAGCTGGTTAAAGTTTTTGAATGCGTTTCCCACATAGCTCAAGAGACTGTTGATCCGCATATATCCTGGTTTCCTGCAAAGATTTATTGAGCATGATCTTAGACTTTTCGTATTCAAGCAAGTTTTTCTGATGCAAAGATTCAATTACTTTTTCTCAGTGTATGTTTGTGCAGTTCAAACTGTGCAGCTGTAAGCATGACGCCCATTATGCGTAATATGCAAATGAATATGTTGTGACTGATTAATTAGGGCACTTGGCAATATCTTGCCGATTGGCAATTGGTGATGACCTAATGCCATTGATTTCAAAGCAATGCTTTAAAGCAATTCATTGGCTCAAGGTTGATTTAATTAGGTGAAGGACCAAATGCCTGCAGTTGTTTCTTCATCCAACGGTTGGGTTCAATTTGCGTTTCAAAAAAAACCTGATATCTCCAAATATTTGCTGAATCAACGAACGATTGTATGGGAAATTGCATACCGTCAATTAGTATGTCTGCCGGTGGGCATTTGAGCTTGGTGCATCAACTTCGCATTCCATGTTTTCAGGCTTTCATCTGCAGCTAGGGTCGATTGGGTTGCCATTGTGGCTGTGGCACGCACAAAATCCGTAGGTCCTGCTCATCATTGGCTGCCGTTGCAGCTTTTGCATACCAAAAGCAGAAAGGATACTAAGACCGATGTCTATTTGCATATGACACAAACAGGTTGCAAAGCGCGCCCCGACTTCAGTTGCATTTACTCGGGTGCATTCCAGTGCCGTAGACGGAGGCAGACGGTGTGTGTATCCTAAGCGACTTTGTGTCATTAAAATGATGCAAGCTTCCTTGCTACTCAAAGAACTGTAATTAAAATTCAGACCGCAGCAACAATGGCATCGGTTGTGGTTATCAAACAGCGCTAAATAAAGATGCACCCTGAGCAGACGCACCTAGTCAAAGCGCTCAAAAGGACCCAGCCAGCCCTGCCTCGAGACCCTAATGGCATACTGAAAGTACTGTAAACAATAATTTATTCAATATATGCATATAGTACCCTCCAGTACACTATAAGCATGAATAAAGCTTTATGGAAATATAGTCGACATTATTTTAAATTCCCTTCACAATGGAAACTCTGTAAAAAAAAAAAAAATAAATAAATATTATGTCAGCCTAGGCTAAGGACATGTGGGCTGCATTGAAGGTTGCAAATACCAGGTTGCCTGCAACTGCTATGAATTTTCAAAGGCATTATATACCTAGCTTCAACTGTAAGTGAGATGAATGAATAATTGTACTCATATAAAATTCAATACCAATTAGTTGACCCAGGGTGTCCTCTTTATTGATTCCTATTAGCTAGAGTCTGACAAGTCTTGAAGACTAGTTAATCCATGTGCTTCTTGAGTCTTTCAATCTTTACCAAGACATCAAATCGTAAATACTTAAGAGTTACCTGTGCTTTGGTTTGCATTATCTTAACTTTGATTTTACATTTGAATTCCATTAAATAGTCGACCATTCACACCATTTTCAGCAGTATCGCCCATATGCTTTTACGCTTTAAAGACATTTTGGCACCTTTTCACGTGACTCTGAAAATCGAAAATCTACTATTACCTGAATGCCAGTAAATAGTCTACACGCACACACGCACACGCAATATTTATGTTTTGTATTCCAGTCACGTACGATGACAGCTAAAATTTAATTTTCTGTTTATATGTATTTTTCAATATACCTCAATGAAATGCAAAACTCTCTGATCTCCTGGCCAATTGTCGACCCTTACGGCAGAGCAGCAAACACAGTAAACACACCGCATGCTGGAGTGCCAGCCTGTACACGCATCGAAAATGCATTTGGAATTTATAACAATTACTATTTCCATACTCAGGTAAAGGCATAAATAAATGCATTGAATGCATTCATTTGTTTTTGTTCTTTGCATTTTGCCAGCGTTGTGTTGTCAGGCACCGATTTACGTTTATCTCGCAACAACATGCAAAGAATCGTTGCCTGCCCACTCTTACCCTTGCCCCCATTTTCCGGACTGCTCCGGACTGCTTGCAATTTCTCTGTCATTTTGTTGTGTTTGCGTTTGCTGAAGCGTTTGGGCTGGTTCCGTGTCCACAATCAAGTTTCAATTGCAGCCTCAAGCTAGGTAGCTGGAACGCCCTAAACGATAATCGAAAATCGATTGTCCTTATATGTTGAAATGCCGGAGCTTTTTGCCACCTGCGCCGTTGTCTGTACGCTCAATTTAGATGCAAACATACTTTGCATACATGTCCGGTACACCCGGTGCAAGTTTCCGCACTTTGGGGGCGCAAAGTTCTGAACTTTGATTTGCATTTATGCAATGCTTTGGCCAAAGAGAGTTGAGCATTTGCCGGACCGGTCCAGGGTACAACGTATATTCTCTATTTGTAAATTTATAATACAATTTTTTGATTTGCCAAATGCGCATATTTCGCTGAGGCTTTGCAACAGTTTTCAACAAAAGTTATTGATTAATCTGTCAGATTCTGATCCAGAACAAGTTTAACAAATTGAAATGTAATTTTCCAGAGCTCTGTGCAATTACAAATCTGTGTAATTCGCGCAGTCAGTTTCAACTCTTAATTTTATGCGAATTGTTTTTTTAATTTTCATAATGATGCAATGAGCTATGCCACTTCGGAACTGAACGAGAATGTGTAATTATAAAACAGAGAAGCGCAGAGAGAGATAGAGAGGGGAATTAATTTGACAAGGAGATTCATTTGCATTTAATAATTTACTTATTTTCAGTTTTTGTGGGCTACGCAGGGGCCGTAGCCACAGTAATTGCCATGGCCTGGAACGCAGACAGGAGCTGGGAGCTTCGAGCAGGATACGGAAAATGCAAGACTTTGCTAACTCTTAGAATCAGACACAGACCCAGCGTCACGCAGACAATTATGTTCTCGCAAATATGTAAATGTGCATATAAATGTGGGTATGAGTGTGTACAGGTCCTTAAATGTATGCGCGGTTTTACCTTTTATGTGAAAAGTTTGACACTTTATGAGAAAGAGAAGTTCACTTAAACAGTTCAAGCGGATAAGGGAGAAAATTAACATTTATATATTTTTACGGTAAGTATTTCTGCAATTAGATAATATTGTAACTATTTCATAAAACTTCTTATTACATTTTTAGCTAAATAGGATCTACTATGATGTGTAGAATGTTTTCGAGGTCTAGAGTGTACAGTGCTTGGACGAGAAACCATCCACATTGATTTTTCATTCCAAGCCCATTAAAAGTATATAATTCTTAAAATTCTTTTGTATTCTCAGTGGGGTTAATTGGCATGTTGGCTTTCAGCTTGGCATTGGAATTCCAAGGCCCAATTGGAGCAATGGAATTTGGAGGACCTAACCATATACCTCAAATCCTTAATCGCCTCACTCAACCATAAGCACTTTAACCCATTTTGAATGACTGTGTGTGTGGTTTTATAATGTCTGTGTGTTTCTGCGTATGTAAAAATTCATATGCTCCTGTGTGTGTGTGTGTGTGCGTTTGTATGTGTTTTGGTTAATTAAAAATGTGCTGCGCATTAACATAATTGCCTTGGGAATACAATTGAATGATTAATAATAGCGCAGTGATTAAACGAAATGGCTCGGGTATATAAAGGACCTTCGTCATTGTGTTTGTCGTAGGCCAAAACGGGGGCGGATTCCGCTCTCTGCGGTTATACTTTAGAGGGCTGGTCATAACAGGTGGCAAAATGCCTACACAAGCATATCTGTAAATTATGTTGTCCATCTAAGGTATAAAAGAATAAAGATAAGCTCTGAATTGTGGTGTTGATACGTGCTTAGGGACATCTTAGCTGAAGTCCATGTTAGCCTGGGCTACATAGAAGTCAATTAGTCGAGGCACAGTCGAGGACAACAAGCAATTCAGACTCGAACTTCTTAAAAACTAATAATGATCATGAATATATTCCTTCTATATATGCAACAAAAAGAAAACAATTTAATGTCCCATTAAGCTTCGCTTATGGCTACTTGGTGTAAATATAATAATTATTATTAAGTTGGCTCATATACACAATTACATTCGAGTATATTAATTATCCGTAATACGATCCGAAACTGTGCCATTTTGTTAAATAGAGAAATTGGTCTGATATCAGGATTTAATGTGTGTGTATAAAACGCCTCTGGCATATGACCACTCAGTGGTTTCTGACATCGATTTTCGGCTTCGTAGTAGCAAAGGATTAAATTGTCACGTATCAAAAGTAATTAAGTGTTGGTGGAACTGTGGCCGAAATTCCCATTGGCTGGCGGGTGGTGTTAAGTGGGCGTAGTGTAACCCAATTCGGTTGGGTTGGCAACTCGGTGCGGTGTGGCTTTGGCTTAATTTAATTACGCCGCACTCTACCGCAACGTGAAATGTATATGAGCATGGCGAGAACTTTGATTGCAGCAGCTTCAGAGCATCATCCTTCAGGATGGAAGTCATAATGGCCATGTGCATTTTTTTTTTGCCTTTAGTGCTATAATTGTGGACTTTGAGCCTGAAATCCCGACACTCGCGATTCAGCTCTCAGATCTGCGTTAGATTGAGATTGGCTTAAATTTTGGGCTTCACACAGGGTCAGCTGTGTCTGGCACTCGAGTTTTTTTTTTTGTTTTTTTACATTCTGCCTTTCGCTTTCAATTGCTAAACGACACTTTTGTTTCGATTTATGGTGCCGTAAAAGCCAAAAGTGGCGCAGTTGTAATTTTACGGCCTTGCGCAATACTGTGCTGGCATTGCGATTGGGCCCAGGAATAGAGATGGCGATGGGAATGGGGATGGGGATGGGGATCAGGCATAGGCATACGCAGGCAAAGTGAGCACCAGCTGAAAGCGAATGTGCAAGTGAGCTGCCCATTTCGATTTTATTTTAACTTCTTTCAGGCCGCCTAAGCTTTTTATCCCTGTGTCATTATAACAGATTTATATGCGACTAGTTAATGCACATACAATATTGCCAGTTTAATTTGTTCGCTTTAAAAAACACATGACCATGCCCATCCAATTGTCATGTCTCTGTGCCATGGCGACTGCCAAAAAGTTGTTTAAACAATTTTTACAGCGTTTTAGCTCAATGGTTTTCCATATGACTGCGCAGCCCGTTCGCTAAAGTTATTGGATCGTTTTGATTTATTGTGCATGCAAATGTTTGCTGTCTGCTCCAACCAGCTTCCTTAATCCTGTTGCGCTCCCATCGAATTTCAATGAGGCCATCATTACCGAATTGCCAATCACTTCTGTGTTGTCTGTCGGGACAAACATACATTGTATATGTGTCTGTCCAGGGTTATGCGCATATATGTTTTATGGCTATATTGTATACGAGAAAGTGAAATCAAAATTTAGCTCTATATTAAAATGGGCACTGTGGGAATCAATGTGTGCCGTACTTCTGGCCTTAAATATATTTAATTGGTGCATGCTTAAGTTTTATAGCGTTCAAATATCTAAGCTCGCAAAAAATAGGTCATCAAATGCGGCTTAGTAGGTCATGTTGTAAATTTATTTTATTTGTTTAAAAATTGTTTAAGCCGGTGTAGGCAAATGAGCTTAACAGGAGATTATTTGAGGCTCGTGGTTTAATCTTGTGTATTTAAAGGTGACTTAAATCGTCTTAAATATATTTTTAATTTTGAAAATCGTCTAGCAAGTTTTTATTGTTATATATGCTGCGGATTTGAGATTAATATGTAATCCTTTTGCAGTTAATCAATTGTCAAGTGCAAAGGTTGATTAAATCAATGAGCTCTACATAGACCTTATATCAACATGATTAGAAATAATGTCATTCGATTGAGTGACAGTCGAATTAGTCAGAAAATAATTTCACGAAATGTGCGCATCAGCTGCGAGTAAATTGATTTGCCAATTGTTTTCTCGTATTTCGTAAGAGAACACAAAAACCCACTCGGTTGAGAAAATAAGCCCTAACGAATAGCCCCAGCCACATGCCGAATATGGATTTATTGTGTTGTGAACTGCTGAGTTTTAAAAGAAATTTCCTTTTATATAATTTTGTTGGGGGTAGCAAACACACATTTCCGGCGGATGTCTGTTAAAAATATGCGAGCTTTAAACCCTTTTGCAATGCGCCCTTAGCCAGTTACAGCCAGCTGAACAGCAACAACAATGCGGCGGACGAGTCGAAGTTAATCGGATTCGGGACATTGTGAATGCTGTGAACAATGCCAAGTAAGAAGCAGCCAGCCAGCAACCAATTCAATTGTGAATATTGAATTTCGTTCAATTAATCATCCATACGAAAAATGATGATGACGTTGATCAAAAAACCACAAACGAATCGAAACGCGGCCCACACGACAAGTCAAATGGAAAGCGGTTGTTGGTATACCATGTTGGACCTGAGCCTGGGTCTAGGCTCTGTGCCGGAATGCCTCCCTGGTTGTCTGTTTCGCGTGTTTTGCTCTTTTTACTTTTGGCTGAAAACTCATGGGTGCATTTACGTTATTAATGAATAAAGAATTTATGCCTATGCTTTGATTTACAAAATTGATTCAAAAACCGCCTTTGGTACCAACGACCGGAACACTTGTTCCGAATATGTGAAAGACGTCATGAAATATGAGCAGCACCCCACTTGGAGCAACATTATGCAGAATCAACTGCAAAGTCAAATAATAAAGTAGAACTCCAGCTCTGTTGCACAATTGTAAATCATTCATGACCAAATAGAAACTCTTAAGAAACGTCGGAAGCCAAACAAATCACAGGAAAGATTAAAGTGAATCCGAATTCAACGTCAATTATGTATGCGCACATGGTCTTGATGTCCCCGGGTGTTTGATTTCACATAAGGGGTTCCTTCCAATCATTATTCCCTGTCGCCACCTCACCGCACCGCACCTCACCGCACCACAGTTGAGCTCAGCTCAGCTCAGCTCAGATCCCAGTCTATTATTGACATCATCATGCTGTTTTGTATCCTTAGTAATCTGTGCTGTTTGCTTTTACACAAATTAATAGCGAAAATTGTGCCGTCGCGCTGTCTCACAAAGCTGCCAAAGCCCCTTTTGAACTGCGTAAGTCTCAAAGAACATATGGGGTCGGTCCATCATCAAGCTCTTAAGAAAACGCCTGCAAGCAATCGGGCCACGTGAGCTCATTCATCGTTAATTTCTTACATTGGCCGCTGGCAAAGCGCAAGGATGTTTGCCTAGGCTCAGAAGGATTGCAGTCATTAATACGCGTGTGTGAATACATATTTGCAGCCGTTTTAAGTTCGTTTGAGGCATACTTATTTGCAGGCTGTGTGTATAAATGTATGTTTTATTCATTACACTTTTAATGCCTATTTCAATAGTTTTTGTTTTCAGTTGATAAATATTTAGATTTAGATTAAGCTATCCATTAAACTCTTATTTCATTTCGTAAAATGTTTATCATTGCATTAAGTTGAAATTGTGAAGAAAGTAAGATTTGCCCTTTTTACCAAATGATTAGTTGAGTCACTTGCATTACACATTGAAAGCTTTCCAACCTTACTTACTTAATTAAGCGATAATAGAATCAAATAGAATTATACTTTTTGAGAGCAGGAGGTAAATAACGTTTAGATTTCCGATACCAGGCGACTGCAATGGGGAGCAGCACGCTTCGGCTGCCTGAGGGAGGTTGACTGTCATTCGAAATTGAATGAACTTGGTGTGGAATCGCATTGCGCAGCGAGTTCGCGTGAAAGTGTCAAATGAGCTTACAGACGGATTATTTTCGCCACGTAAAAATAATCGCATTAATTTGTCGGACAAGCAATTACAACGATTGGTTGAACTGCAAAGTCAGCGCTGTTGATGAGGGGAGACACTTAAAGGACTTAAAGGAAGGCACAACACACCTTAAAAGGTAATGTATACAAATAATTGCGTACTTATATATATATATATATATATGTATATATATGTGTATAAATGTTTGTAAGTATTTTATTGTGCCTTGTAACCTCCTCGCTGCCAACTTCGCTCTCGTTTTACGGTGCTGCACAGCAATTACCCGCGAAAAAACTTCGAAATTGAAGCTGAATAATAGAAATGGCGCAAGGGAGATGGCAACCTTGCAATAGACAAAAATACAATGCACAAAAATACAATGGAGTCGGACTGTGAATGAACGAACAGTGAATAAGCAATGAGAGCCTGCCTCGTAGTACTCAAGACGGTGTGGTTAACGAAGCTTGCAAGGCGGAAATCAAAAGCCACTTTCCTGTAATTGCGCCTGCAATTGTAGCCCACTGGGGAGCAGCCGGGCGAGTCTTCTGCTGCGAAGCGTTAATTAAATGCAAACCAAAATCAGCTCAAGCACACACATACACACACACACACACACGCATCACCAATATGTAGGCTGTCAGACTAAAGATATGGGGAAATTGAAAATGAGCTTTGCTTTGTGTCTGTCAGTGGTTTGTGGTCCAGCAGAGGTAATCACAAAAATTATTTAGATAATCATCATTGGGGACTGCGGTTTTTACCACTCAACG